TCGGACTGTCCATCAAAATTAATTATGATGTGCCGATTTGGGGGCGTCTCATCAAGTTTTTCTCATGGCACTCTAGTCTCCTAATCACATTTTTGGGCGAGTAAGATTCCGGTGAGTGTAGTAATTCTTAGGCGGGAACTTTTGAAGTAATTCGATTTTTGACCATCATAACTTCTTGGGATTGGCATTTTGTTGTTTGACACTTTCTCTCTCGTCTGACACGGAGGAAAGCATGTTTCATATATATATATATATATATTTTTTTTAAATTGAAACGTTGTTGTCATTTGGCGTTTCACAACAATCGATGCAATTGTGGGTGTGTGTCTCTTCGAGTCCCCCATGCGTGTTGGCTATAAAAGCTAACCTTCAACGCTTATGCTTCACTTTCTTCTCCAGCCACCATTTTCACAAATTTTGTCTTTTACTCAAGGAGTCCTCCGGTGAAACTTCCAGTTTTCTTTCTTTCCTTTAAGGTAATTTCTCTCCAATCTTGCTTTTATTCCTTTTATTATCCCTTCTCATTAAGTGGGATGTCTTCCGCTTCGTCTTCCTCTGCGTCTGAGAAATCATCCGTGCCCACTCTCCGCCTTGTGCCTGTTGGGAATCGGGAATGTGTACGCCGTAAAAAACAAAAAAAATTATATGAAAAACGAATTTAATAATATAAACACGTACACGATAATAGCAATCAATTGCGTACCTTAATGCTTCCAGCCTTAATGCTCCTCTTGAAAAGCGTGAGGTGAACTATCGGATTTATGCAAACTGCCACATAAACCAATCCGTGTAGTCGGGAGGAGCGGTGGCGACAGAACAGACGCGCGGGCAGCGGCGGCGCATGCAGTTCACGCGTTGTCTTCAGGCGGCGCGTGAGGGCGCGTGCGGCGGCGGTTCGACGAGGGCTTCTGGTCAATTTGACTCATTTGTCTTTCTCCTCTCGGATTTCACCTCGTATACCGAGTTCAACTAGTACATGGAACTAGAAACACAAAAGTCAGAATAAACGGAAGAATAAAACATAGAAAAGAGTATGGAGAACAAACGGCGCGTGGGGCGCCGATTTTCGGCGGCGGCGCGGTGGAGATGGCAGCAGGCTAGCGGTTACGAGCGGCTAGGGTTTGTCACTTTTTGTACAAACCCTATAAATCTTGTATTTAGAGTGTCTTGTATATAAGCCCTAACAGACCAAAGTTGGACTGGGCCCAACAACTTATGTTCGTTAGTTTTTCTTCGCACGTTTCTCATAAATCAATGATTAGAAAATTATAACAACTATATTTTCAGAATCATTGAAACGTCCTTGTCATTTCGAATGCCAAATCTCGATTTCCAATTTCTAAAACTGGAAACCCTAATTTAGTGGAGCAGCTAAATTTGGAAACTTCCCAATTTAGAAAGTTCACTAAGATGATCGCCTAGTTCTTACCTTTTCTTTTTCTCATTCATAATTCTCAATTATGAATTTTGGACTCAATCGTATTGACTTCCAATTATGCAAAGATTAAACATTTTTATCTTTGACTGTTTATTCAAAGAACTCGAGTACACAAGCAGTGTGACCCTAGATGGTTCAGGTGTAAGCTAGCTGTGAGCCCCCAACTCTTTGTGGTTTAAACTCGTCCCTAGAGTTATAATTAAGATGAAGCTCATTTCAACTTAATCACCCAAAGAATCAAGATTGGCGTCTAGCAACTACGCATCAAGATTCCCTAGATACAGATGAAGTGCCTGTAAAGAACCATGTCATATAGTTAACGTACAGTACGATCCCTTCGATACATATGTCCGATTGTACTAGAGGCATTGGTTCATCGAGATCTCCTTTATAGTTCAATAACTGTGCGATCGTTCAAAGTGTTGTAATCGGTACGTGCATGACTTAGACAAGAAAATTCCCTAGTCATCACTTAGTCAGCTCTGGCCAGAGACTTAAAGATTACAAACTATGAGAACACACAGGACATCCAAGACTATTCTAGCGATCATATCCTCAACTACAATGCACAGACCTCCCACTAGATTTCAGACTGCACGGACACTGGCCCTTGATGCGGTCCTTGGTGGAACTCATGGAAAGGTTACGATACAACTGGTCCTGTAATGAAGTCATGGTGATGTCTAGGTCTTAAGGATTAACGATGTACAACTATATCATAGAAACCTCTACTCGATTATTGGGAACCACTTAGAGTTCTCTAGATTGAGGGAGTTCAGTGAACTCATAAAATTACTTATGAGCACCCACTTATGTATGCCGATGTCGCAACACCGTTGACTGATGAGACGCAGTACACATATACTAAGTGCTAGTCTCGAATGGTAAAGGACTTGCCAAATTGGGAAACTTCCCAAAATAGAAAGTTCACTAAATTTCCGTTGGATTCTTTTCGTCTACTTATTCTCAGTTGTAATTAACAATTACGAATGTTTGACTCAATCACATTGACTTCCAATTACACTAAGATTAACTAATTAATCTTAGCTCGTTGCATTAATGATCTCAAGTACACGAGCAGTGTGACCCTCGATGGTTCAGGTGTAAGCTAGCCGTGGGCCCACAACCCATTGTGGTTTACAATCGTCCCTAGAGTTACAATTAAGTTGAAGCTAGTTTCAACTTAACTAGCCAACGAATCAAGATTGGCTTCTAGCAACTATGCGTCATGATTCCCTAGATACAAATGAAGTGCTTGCAAGAACCGTGTGATATAGTTAATGTACAGTACGATCCCTTCGATACATATATTTCGATTGAACTAGAGGCATTGGTTCATCGAGACCTCTTTGTAAGTTCAATAACTGTGTGGACGTTCTTGATTATATAATCCGTTCGTGTTTGACTTAGAGAAACATATTTCTCTATTCATGACACTTTCAGCTATGGTCGCATACTTTATGGATTATAATCGTAAGAACATATAGGATATCCATGACTAATCAATGATCGAATCCCCTACTACAATGCACAGACCCCCCACTAGATTTCGGACTCCACGAAAACTGGCCGTTGGGGCGGTCCTCGGTGGAACTCAGGGACAGGTCACGATACAACTGGTCCTCTAATGAAGTCACAGTGATGTCTGGTTCTCAAGGAATAATGGTGTACAGCTATATCATAGAAACTTCTACTCAGTTATTGGGAACCACTTAGAGATCTCTAGATTGAGGGAGTTCAGTGAACTCGTCAACTTACGAGCACCAACTTATGTGTGCCGATATCACAATACCATTACTGATGAGACGCAATATGCATACACTAAGTGCTAGTCTCTTAATGGGAAATGACGATATCCTCATTGGCGGCGTAACCCTTCGACTAGGAACATGGTTTAACAGTTATAATACTTAGTAAATATCTCATGATCCTAATAGATCAAATATAAGTAATTATAATAACTGTAAGGACTATACCTATGCTTATGCAAGGGACAAAGATATAGAATGCCAATGTGTTTTATTATTAATATGAAAAAAGATTATTTATTACAAGAATAAATGAAAGACCACAACCACTAGTTGGCTTGCTGGTCACCTACTCTAATAGCGCCGCCTCCATCACGCGGTTGTGTTCCTCCTACTATAGCAGCGAGGAAGAAAAAGAAAGATAAGGCAGTGGTTTCGAATGTTAGAGTTCCAGCCACTGTTCCTTCTTGTAAGGAAACAGATAAGGGTAAAGCCCCCGATTCCGTATCTCCCAAGAAAACGAGAAAAATATGGGAGCCAAAAGTTAGGGAACCAACAATTAACATTCTAGCAACCCCTCTTACTTCATTTTTGACTACTGAGGATATCTCCTCTTTACTTGCTCGCCAAGGGATAGATCCTTCCTTCATTCTGATATTGCCCTCGCAAATATAAATTACCTATTAAACAATTTATTCCCAATTCTATTCATGCCTGCTTTTCTCATAATTTTTCACGAGGCCTCCATCTCGCCTTTGGGTGATCTGTTTCATTTGGCCTTTGTTACGCGTAAAACGTATGTATAAATAACCGCAAGTGTACATTATCGCGTTTTGTAGAATAGTGAATTCCATGTATCGATCCACTAGAAATTAAGTTCCCAAAATTTATCAAGTACCGTAATTAAACTATCCTAAAATTTATCTAGACAATCGAAAGGATGAGGGATGAAATGAAGCTAAAAAGAAACAAAAATAAAAACAAAGATCCGCTAGGAAAAACGAGGAATTTCTACATATGATGGTTTTTAGACACTATACTCGCTAACCTAATGTCAATTCTATACTCGCTAACCTAGACACTAAAATACCTCAACCCCCATCTTCAGTGTAATTAGAGTCTACCCACAGGTCCGACGTCTTCGTTCAGAACCTGATATTAGGAGAGCATTTAGGTCAAGTCCTTAAGGGCTACCCAAGGTGCACCACGTCTCTGTTTCCACAACCCGAGCTAAGTTTTCCTAAAATCAAACAAGAAGTCCTCTCTCGACTTCATTCCCATTTACAGTCAATTCAACTGTTGGCCAAACAATCAAAAACATTTAATACATTTAAAAATAACCATAATCAAAGTACGACAAATAGATCACAAATCTGGAAATCAGAATAAAAAAATACAAGCTTTCATTTTCCTAAAAGAAAATGCTTAGTTCATTATAAATATAGCATAAAAATGAAGAACACGTGAAATCATAAACGAAACGTAAAGAAAAAGCTTATGAAAAACCTAAGTCGAAACCCTCGTCAAAGCTTCCCGCGAAGAACTGGCGAAATCCGAAGAGAAAACCGAAGAGGATTTAAAGAAGAACAGAAGAAAAATTGAAAGAGAATTGAAGAATGAAAGCTTTGCCTTTTTTGATATGTTTTTACGCATCTCAAGTCCATATCGCGATATGGGGCAGCAATATCGCTCAATATGGCACAACTACAAGCTTTTTGTTTCGTTTTCTGCCATTTCGCGACACAAGGAAGCATATTGCGCGATATGGTAAAATAACAAGTTATTTGTTTCGTTTTTCTGCCGTATCGCGATACAATGAAGCATATCGCGCGATATGGCAAAACTGGAAGCTGTCTGTTTCACTTTCTCCCATATCGCAATACAAGGAGGCATATCACGCGATATGGCAAAACTGCAAGCTCTCTGTTTCGTTTCTCCCATATCGCGATATGACTGGTGATATCGCGATATGGTCAGTATGTTAACTTCAAATTATTTTTTGACCATGTTCTAGCACGAATGTGATAAAAATACACTTCATTGAAGTTGTAGCCATGTTAGTTGGCCTTCTAAATCTTCTTAAATCAGCTCAATTGAAGTTCGTATGAAGAAGTTATGCATGAAATACCGAACGCTGCCACCATCCACTTGAATGCAATTTTGCACTTAATGACTTGATTCTCGGCTTTACTTCCGAAATCATTTCGAATCGGCAAAAGTAGCTTCCTTTACCTAAAACTAAAATAACACAAGAAAGGCATAATATATTCAGATAAAGCCGAAAACTCGGACAAACAAAGATCAAAACTCGAAGAACTGATAAGTTAAAATCGTGCAAAACGAACACTTATCAGCCTTTAGTTTAATTTTTTCTCGTTCAGGCATTCTTCACCTATGCGCTCTTTCTAAAATCAGTCTTTTTAGCAGTTTGATTAATAAAGTGCAAAATTGGCAGCGGTGTTTCTTGTTTATTGGCCTTCCTCTTAATCCTAATCACCTCGAGAAGGCGCCCTCCAAGTTGAGATTTCTCCCCATTTTATGGTGATCCGGTCTCGCCTCATGACTCACGCTCCTTCTCAACTATGGGACATTGAGAAAATAGTTTCCACCCCTCATATTTGCTCGCACTAGCCTATGGCACATGTCTTCGTCTGATTCTCGCTTGCTTGGTACTAGGCTTCTGTCTTTAACTTTCTTGTATATGTAAATCTTTGTTTTTATGGTCTTTTGCTAGTTTTTTATTATTGACTGCGTTTGTTTTGGACGAGATGATGCGCGACAATATGAAGTCTCTGCATTCGAAGAAACAACGACAGCAGTTTTTGCGGCAAGTTTCCGAGTCCACCATCTACCCTCCGGGTACTGCTCACCCTTCATTGCCCAGCAAAGGTATGACAAGTGTTTATGCGGGTGCCTTATCTTCAATATCTCACCCTTTCGCAGAGGGAGGTTCTCGCGCTTTGTTTGGACCACCTCCACCCATTGTTGTATGGCAGCCTGTGATCGAGCTTGACAACGAACAAGACACGAACCAGGGGGAACATGCTTCCTTCATTTCTCTTGAAAAGACCTCATTTGACGCAGCTCAATCAAAGCGAGCCATGACTGAAAGTACTTCCCTCATTTCCAAGCGACATAGAGAGCGCGGAAGATGGGGGTTTCTTTTCACCCAACCATCCGGACATTGGCAGGCCGAGTTGACTTGTCATTTTGATTAAGTTAATCTTGCCAAGGATTCTCACGCCTTGGAGCTCTCGTCTCATGAGCGGCAACATGCTCGTCTTCTTTTTTCATGCCTCCCATGTTAATCTCTTCTCTTTATTTTTACTTTGGTTACTTTTAGCAGATTGTCTATTTGGGGTATACTTAATGCCTTGTGTATTTTCCCTTAGATCAATTTTTTGCTTGTGCATGGCTTCGGAGCTGAAGACCCTTTTCGGAAATCTGATGAGGTAGCTTACTATAAGAGGATTGCATCTGAGAAGGCTGACGTAGTTGGCCATCTCTAAGACCTAGTCGTGAGCTTGAGAAAAGCAAAGTTACTGCGAAAAAAATCATCTTCGGGCTGAAAAGTACAATGTGATGAAGCAAAGCAAGCCTCGATGAAGAATCACGTTTCGCTTGTAGGCGGAGAAGAAGCAGATCCAGGAAAATGCGCGGGAGAAACAACGAGTGGTGCGAAATTGATGCGAGCTCTTGCATATGAGTGGGAAAATAAACTCTTTATGATAATCTTTGTTCCGAGGATGGACAAAACTTCCTGAAGGAGCAACGCGAGAAGCTGATCACGAGGTATCCTTCCTTGGATCAATTTGCCACAACATCTGTTCCAATTGGTCTGGGATACTTTAAGCGTTTTATTCGTTTGGATATCGATGGCAGGGGTCGAGATCCTTCAGATGTGGACTTCCAATTACTCGAGCAATTGGGAGAAGAGATTCTTGGTGGATGGCGGTTGTGTAGGACATTGATACGAACCTCATAGAACTTGTTACGAGACCCAAATATCTTACGCAGAAGCAAGAACGGAACGTCCAAAGAAAGGATTGAATTGGCGGAATTCAGAATATTGACCCCGAAGCTATAGAGAGCTAGAAACCAATATTATCAAGGTGAAAGTATTGACTCCGTGATTATTATAAATCAGAAACCAATACTATATCGCTAAGAATAGTTCACAAGAACCCACTATCAAAATATCCCGAAGAGTTGTTTAAGAACAACGAATGAAAATTTTAATCTCTCAAATTAATGCTTAAAAACGTCCAAATAATAATGGCACCAAAACAACCTATTTATAAGTGTCAAAGAGACATAACCTAACAAGGAAAATAACTCATAACTTATCTATTATAAGGAAATAATAAAATAAACTAAATCTAGTCCAAATCGAACTCTAAATAGCAAGAAATAAATTGTGCAATAATAAAATACAAAAAATAATAATAATCATCTATTCCAAGTCACGTTTTCTGGGATGGATGACTAGACGGGCTCAAGTCTTTGAGCTCGGATTTCTTCACAATCTGGCCCGATAATTCGCTCCAACTAAGCTCAAATGGGATCGAACTAGACTTTGTTAATTCTTCCTTTCGAAGCTCATGTTATACTAAGTTAAGAATGACTGCTTCAATGCGCTTGGCCAGAGTTCGAGTAATCGGTCCACTTAGCACATGCAGTTCGTCCGAGTCATCAACTCTATCATCCTGCTCGTCAGTAGCTTGCATAATTGGTTGGATCCTATCAGAGATGCTCTAGCATCAAAACTTTTATCCATCCAAGGCTCCTTCGTGCAATTTGATCAGAAAGATCTGCTCCATTATTCTTGCTACAGCTACTGCCTCTACCCATTTTGAAAAAAATAGTCCATTGCAACTATGAGAGACTTCATTAGCTCTGTGGCGAGCGACATTGGACCAACAATGTCGATCCCCCATTGTCCGAACGGGCAAGGAGATGTGATTATCATGATGTCCTCTCCTGGCCATGATTTCGCCACTTGTCGCATGCCTTGCCGAACTGCATGGCTTCTTTTCTCAGTGTAGGCCAGAAATACCTATCTCTTAATAGACGCGCAATCAATGCCCTTCCGCTTGCATGATCTCCACAACATCCTTCATGCATCTCGCATAGTACATATTGTCCCTCATGTGTGTTGAGACAACTTAAATGGGGTTTTGTGTATCCTCTATTGTAAAACATTTAGCCATCTACACATAAATGCTTCGCTTTTTGTCCTGCATTTATCTGTGCTTGTGCTCTCACTTGTACCCTACCTAGTAAGTGTGTTTTTATCTATGTTCGCCAATCTTTAGTTTCGGCTAATGTTAAGATTTGTCATGTATTAACTATGAAAAGTTCCTTTGTCAATATTTGTATCTTTCTCGATTCGCAACATATCATCATGCTCTCTACGTTAGCTAGAAAGTCGTCTTGTTCGTTTTCCTCTCTATGTATTTGAGTTGAATCGACTCTTTCAAACCCTCCCAGCGTTTTCTCGCAGTAGTTATACATCTTGGACTTTCTTGGTTACCTCAAGTTCCCATTTTATTTGTTGCACTAATCAGGAATCCGAGAAGGAGTGCACCTTTTGTCCGCTTGCTAGAGCGACGAATATCATTCTGTAGATTAGATCATCATGTTCCACCTCATTGCTAGAGGAGGCTTGAAATGGCAATTTGATTGCGTACTTCACCTCTTCGTTCGCATTTTTTAACACCACTCTTGCCCCACTTCCGACTACATTGGTTCATCTGTCCACGAACACCTTCCATTGATCTTGTTCTTCTCGCCTTATTATTTCTTTGAGGAAATTGGCTAGGGCTTTCTCTTTGATTGCATCCCATGGCTCATATTCGATATCTAATTGGCCTAGTTTAATGACTCATTTCACCATCCTTCCCGACACATCATTCTGCCCCGTGACCGTTTTCATTGGGTGATTTTTCTTGACTATTGTATGCGAGATGAAGTACGACCTTTACTTTCTAGTTGTGATTAATGCCAACCTGATTTTTTTTGATCTCTGTCTATCGTGTTTCCATTATTATCAGTAGTGTACTCGTATAGTTAATGGGGCTTTGAATTTATTTTTTTTCTCGAAAGAGCAATAAGATTACTACGAAGTTGAATTTGGATTGATCCTCTCGACTCAGTGGGATCTGATGGTATCAACGATGTGTCCAACATACTTAATATTTCGCAACTCGTTGTTGAGTCCACCAACTGGTCGATGTGTGGCAATGGGTAGTAGTCTTTTGAGCATGCCTTGTTGGGATCTTGGAAATCAATACACATTCTCAACTTATCTACTCTTTTTTTTTTTCTATTACGACATGGGATAACCAAGCGGGGAAACCTAATCTCACGTATCTGACCTGCTTTTCACAAAGTTTGTACATGCTCTTGTATTTCTTATCTTATGTTTTTCTGCTCCGAAGTGGCTCCTCTTGTTTTTAAGGGATTTACTTCAGGCTTCACATTGAGTTCATAGACAACTACCCGCTCATCAATTCCCATAAAGTCTGTTGTGAGAATACGAAAAAGTATTTATTGTTGCGCAAAAAATCAATTAGTTGTTGTGATGAGACGGTGTCCATATGCCTCCCGATGTCATCAATTCGTCCATTTGCTGGACATGTGCCCTCTCATTTGGTGGATTCACCACCGGCCCCCGGTCTTCCTCTCTTCTGATGTCATCTGCTTGGATGCTATCGATATGCCTAGTTCTTCTTAATGCATCATAATATCATTGTCTAGCCGATTCTTGATCCCGCGCATCTTTGTGGTTTGATCCATAACATGGAATTTTAACTTCATGTGGAACGTGGAGACAAATGCTTGTAGGAGGTTTATAGAAGGGTGGCCATGTATCATGTTGTAAGTAGAAGGTACATACAAGGCCAGGAAATTGATCGATCTAGTGGCTCGAACATGCTTCA